CTCTCAGCTATATTTCCCATCTGCTTCTTGGGTTTCTTCACAAAATTTACCTTCTTAATACATAATACTACCCCACCCACATGCACACTTTTAACTCTCCTGTTTCTTTTTAATAAGTATACTCATCCAGACCATATTCCAGGTAAGAATTTCATCTATTCTCTATGGCCCCTACCTCATAAGCATACAAAAGCAGTTTTCCCCCTTTCCTCCCCCCTATCTCTCTTTATTTTAAAGTCCTTTTCATTAAATTTATAAGACCAAGCAAATGCATTTTTACCAGCTTTGTTAGGTGCAACCCATCCATGGCTAGAAGCCTGTCATTTGTCTGTTTTAAACTAGAAATCCAAGTTCCATTTTCAAACACCATTTTCCCAAGTCAATCTCTCTCTCTCTCTCTCTCTCTCTCTCTCTCTCTCTCTCTCTCTCTCTCTCTCTCTCTCTCTCTCCTCCCTCCCTCCCTCTCTGTCCTCCTTTCTTTTTTTCTCTTTCTCTTTCTTGTGTTCTGTGGCTTCAATGGGCAGCAGTAAGAATATAGCCTGTGACACCGTGATCTTCACTATCTTGCTAAAGACTTGGGAATTTTAGGAAATACTTTTTTTAAAGTATTTTTTTCAGTTAACGAAAATTTATCTTCTCTCCCTCCTACCTTCCCTAATCCCCATCAAAAAAGGGAGAAATACAAAACTTTTGTAATAAATCAGCATAATTTAAACAATTTCCTATATTGGTTTGGCAATACTTTTAGAGATTCCTTTTCATATCATTATTTGTGCCCATGTGAATCACCAGAGGTGGGTAGTAGTCATCTGTTTTTTGACAAATTTGTCATCTGTCTTAGAAACATGTCCCAGAAAGGCAATAGACCTTTCTGTTGCTGTTATCAGGTTTACAAATAGCTACCTCAGTATCCCTAATTAGGGAGTCATTAGCTATCAGTATTCTTCTCTTCTTTCTCTAGCTCTTATTGGGTGATCTATGGTCCTTCTTTATCATCCTTGAAGGTCAAGCAGCTGCTCTCTCTTCAGAACATATGCAGCTCTTTCTTCTTCAGGAAGACCCTCAAATTTGCTTTTTTAGACCAAAGTGTACAGTTGTCTTTTTCTTTCCTTTCCTCCTTTGTGTGACATTTTTCTACCCTCTCCCTCTCTTTAAGTTTTCATTTGTTTTGTTTTTATATTGCAAACTTTTACAGATTGCCTGTGAGGCTTCATATAACAAATTAAAACAATTAAGTAAAATTAACAATATAATGACCTCATCTGAAAATTCATACAACTTTTCACATCTGTAGCACTCCCTTACACTTCTATTTTTTAAAAATTATTTTGTTTTAATTAACAGAAATCTGTTTTTTTTCCTTCTACTGCATTGAAAAGGAAAGAAAAGAAAAGAAAAGAAAAGAAAAGAAAAGAAAAGAAAAGAAAAGAAAAGAAGGGTAAATCCCTTATAGAAAATATGCCCAATCAAGGAAAAGAAATTCCCTCATTGGCCCTGTTCAAAAAACAGATGTTTCATTCTATGCCCCGAATCCATTACTTCTCTGTCAAGAAATGGCTAGCATTTTTTTTCACCATCACTCCTTTGGAATCATGGGTGGTTATTGTTTTTATCATAGTTCATACAGCTTTCAAAGTTTTTTGTCTTTACAACATTGCATCATATAAATTATTCTCCTGGTTCTGCTTATTTCATTCTTTATCTGTTTATAAAAGTTTTCAAAATTGTTATGTTTTTATAATGTTGGTATTATAGTATACATTGTTTAGTTCTGGTTCTGCTTATTTTACTCTGCCTCAGTTGATATGTCTTTCCACGTTACTTTGAAATCATCTGTTCCCTCATTTTTTTACAGCACAACAGTATACCTTCATATTCATATTGTAATTGTCATTCACTTGTTCCAGTCATGTCCAATTCTTCATGACATCATTTGGTGTTTTCTTGGCAAAGATACTGGAGTAGTTTGCCATTTCCTTCCCCAGCTCATTTTACAGATGAGGAAACTGAGACAAACAGGGTTCAGTGACTTGCGCAGCTAGCTAGTAAGTGTGTGAGACTGGATCTGAACTCAGGTCTTCCTGACTTCAGGCCCAGTGTTCTATTCACTGTGCCATCTAGCTGTTCTTCATATTGATATACCACAATTTATTCAGCTATTCCTCACTTGATAGGCCTCCCTTTAAGTTCCCAGTTTTTTGCCATTACAAAAAGAGCTAAGATATCTATCTATCTAAAACCCTTTACTGTTTTTTTAATCTTTTGAGGGTATAGACTTAGCAACGGTATAGCTGGATTAAAGGATATGCACTATTTTGTGTATAAGATATCTTTTGCATATAATTGCAAGGTGCTTTCCACAGTGGTTGTATCCATTTACAGGTCTACCTATAGTATATAAATAAGCCTGTTTTCCTATAGTCCTTCCAACATTTATAATTTTTTTTTGTCATCACTGTCAGTCTGGTGGGTGTGTTCTACTTTCTAATCTCTTCACAAAGGTTATTCCTTCTACCACTTCAGATCCTCCACTCCTTCAAAGCTCTCATCTCTCTAACTCTTTTAAAGGGATACTTAATTGATAGAGAGGGCAGGGACTATTTTATTTTTGTCTTTGTATCCCCAGCACCTTACAGTATTTGGAACATAGTAGGCACTTAATAAATGTTTGTAGATGATTAACTGTTCTTGATAACCTGGAATGTGAAAAAGGTATTCCTGATCCTCTTATATACTCTGCATATCATTGTAAAATTCTTCCTGGTTTTCATACTGATCAATATTCTAAGTCTTATTAGTTGAACTACTTGTAGAATACCTTAAGAGCACTACAGCTTTTGATTACCTGACAGTCACACCCAACTTTTTTCCCTAGTCAACAGTTTTAGAGTCACATTCTATGTCTTTCCCCTTCTCTCACTGAACTCTTATTCATCCATTAATTTGTTTTACTTCCCAATTGGTTTTACTTGCCTTTTCTCACTACCCAAGCCAAGTATTTTTTCCTTGAGTGCTCCTCTTCAGATTTTATTCTTTTCTTTTGTCAGATTGAGTCTTCCTTCAATTTATCCTCAGATTCTCTCAACTTTCTCCTCCCCTAAATCTAATCTGGCCTTCTTTATACATTCAGCCACCTCCAAATCACCTTTACAAAGTCCTCTTCCTTATTCAGTGTAAAACCTCTCTTCTCCAACTCTTCCCATATTCTTCTCTCATCACAGCCAAAAGTAAAATCAATATGAGTTTCTCTTTAGTTGTTGTTTGTTTCAGTAGAACGTAAGTTCCTTAAGGCCAGGATTGTTTGATTTTTGTCTTTTGATGCGTAGCACCTAATAAAGTTTCTTGCTGTCACTAAAAGTGTTCAAGATGTGACTGGAATGGCCAGCCATCAAAAATGTTATAGAAGAAATTCTCCAAGGTTCTATGTTGTTAAGATTCCTTGGTTAAAAGACTCACTTGATTTCAATGTCATGGCAATCAAAAGAGAAATACAGAAAGAGAAATCCAACTGTGCTATTCATAGACTATTTCCTTTAAAATGACCTATCTGTAAGGAAGACCAATGAATTATTCATTGGTACGCTAAGTTTTGATGAAGGCCTAACCAATTAGAGTTTATGATATCCTCTGTCATCTGAGGACATGTTTCCCAACTATTTGACCCCCTACTCTTCTGAAAAAAGTAAGTGACTGAGGTCTTCCTTCTGTGCCTTCCCAGGATTTAAGGCTTGGTTACATTAGCAATAGTCTTGAAGTATCTGAAGACAGTAATATTGTTAGCTTTGAGTGCACAAGATAATGATTTACATTTTGTTTGCCTTTCGTGTGTGTGCATGGGGAGAGGACTTGTGTCCATCGATCATATTATTATTAATTTCAGCTGGCAAGATTTGGGCACAGAACTGAATGGGCCAAAGATGCTATTCCCTTTTCACAGTGAACTCTGGAAGGCTATGAGCCCCATTATCACTGAAAAATAAACTTCAACTGTCTCATCATTTTGTTAGCTTGGACTGTGTGGAATTAATAGATATTAGATATGATCCTGGGGGAGTCAGTTGACTCTCAGCCTCAGTTTTCTTATCTGTGAAAGGGAAATAAAAGTAGTACCTACTTCACAGGGTTGTTGTGAGGATCAAATCAGATCAAATGTAAAATGCTTTCCAACCTTTAAAATGCTATATAAATGTTACCTATTATTATTGGAGCTGAAACAGATCTGGTTAGAGACCATATGATTCAACCTTCTTATTTTACAGAGAAGGCAAGCAACACCCAGAGCAATAAAGTGATTTGTCAAAGGTCATACACTAAGTCGTGGCAGAGCCAGTTTCTTGACTCCCAATCCCAATCTTTCCACTCATCAGAACTTAATTATTTCAGTATCCAACTAAAATATTACATGGATACTTTTTCTTTAAAATGAAAAAGTCATGCCAAAGGTAGGTGATTTATATGATTTCTTTGTGAACTCAAAGTAAAAAAAATATATATTAAAAATAGAAAATCAATTGGGGCTCTGGGTAACTTATTTCTTTCTTCTCACCTCTTTGATAGAACTGTTATAACAGCTTTTCCCCCAATACATTTGTGTCTACTTCAGTTGCACAAGTATTATACTCCTAATAATTGGAGTTGTGATCAAATGAAGGTTAGATTGAAAAAATTGTATTTGGCATCAGGAGACCTGGACTCAGATATTGATTAGACTATAAACTAGCTGTGTGATCTCCACCTTTAGAGACCTTAGTTTACTTGTCTTTAAAAGGAAGAGATTGAACTAGATACTTTCTAAGGTCATGTATAGCCCTAACTTTTCTTATTCTGTATTGTAATATTCTATGATCTAAGATCCTTTTAGCCCTATCATTTTATGTTTTAAGATCACTCTAGTGTTTTGTGCTCTTAAATTTCTTCCAGCCCTAATATTTATTCTCTCATCTGTTGTCTGGTAAATGCAATAAAGGAAGTTCTATTTGTTTGTTTTTGATGTACTTCAGATCTGAACAGTGTAATAAGATATCAGGAATGAGAGAAGAATCCAGAGAGGGAACAGATGAACCACAGCCAGAAGATATTTTTGATGCAGAAGCTTATATGAACAATGAAGCCAGCTTACCCTCTATCTGCCTCAAGCAAGTATTCCCGAAGTATGCAAAGCAGTTCAACTATTTGCGTTTGGTGGACAGGATGGCCAATCTGTTTATCCGATTCCTTGGAATAAAGGGGACGACAAGGTTGGGACCAACAGGGTTCCGCACTTTCATAAGGTTGGTAAGGCCAGACTTTACTCTGTATTTTCTTAAACTATATGTGGAATATCCCTGTCTGTCTCTGTTAAATTGCAGTGCTTAACTGTCGATCAGTGAAAAGAGCTTTGACATGGAATCAGAGTTCCTACATTCAAATTCTGTCTCTGCTGATTATTACTTTTGAGACCTTGAGGCAGTCACTTAAACTTACTGGCCTCAGTTTCTTCACCTATAAAATGAGGGGTTTCAGCTACATATCTTCCAAGGGCTTAACTCTAGATCTGTGATCTTATGACCACTACATTTTCCTAAAGCTAATAACTCATTAATAAAGCACTTTATGTGCATTATCTCACGGTCTTTAATCTTTGAAATTCCCTGTGAGGTAAGTGACCCAACCAAGTGTTATTATCACCATTTTATAAATGAAGTAATCAGGGCTCAGGAGTTGAAATGATTTGGTCTGGGCTACACACCTAATTCAGGATATGAATCTAGGGCTTCTCTCTCCTAGGCCAACAAATTATTCTACTTTGATTCTGCAAGTAAATCGTATGTGTATATGTACACAAGCATAGACATATACATGTGTATATATAGGTATATTTCCCCTGAAAGGAAGATAAACAGAGGAGAGATAGAAGATTGAATAGCTTTGCTCAATTTTAAATACAGATCACAGCCTCAGTGAGAACAACACTGTATGGGAGACAGAGAGCTGGCCTTGGAGCCAAGGACAGCTGAGTTCCAGGCCCACCTCTAACAAACACTAGCCATGTGGCCCTGAGCAAGTCACATACCTTCTTTGTGTTCTGGGCCATTCTCTGAGACAAGAAATTGCAGAAAAGATGACTACTTTCATTGGTAGGGGGAGTTTTCTCACCTGAGGTTCTCTATTCCAGTGAAATAACAGGTCTAGGCCCTATCTACATGCCTGTAATAATAATTATGGTGTTTATATCATCCTGTTCAGTTTACTATACATCCATCATCTCCTTCAATCAGTTTACCATCTTTGTGACCTTAGGCAAGTCAATTCTCCTTTCTGGGCTGTAGTCTTATCTGTCAAATAAATGGGTTACATTAATCTCTTCTTGTTCTAAAAGTACATATATATATACACATGCATATATATATTTATATTTACTTCAATATTTAATGTATTTATGATTTCAGTTCAATTGGACAAACTTTTATCAAATCCCTATGATGTGCAGAGAACACATAGACAAGAATGAAACGAAGTTTACATTCTACTTGTGGGATACTATTGGGACGTATATAGGTGTTATGCAATGATAATTAGAGCTCTGTGACCTGGGGGGATTTGAGGAAGCCTTCTCAGAGGAGGTGGCATCTGAGCAAGGCCAAATATCAAAGGAGTCTTGGAAGCTGAGATGAGGAGGGAGTGCATTCCAGGCATGGGAAATAGACATGTAGGAGTAAGATTGAGTGGGGAAGCATCTAGTAGTTCTGTTTGACTGGAATGTAGAGTTCATCAAGGGAAGTACCTTTCTGTAAGGCTAGAAAAGGGAAGATGGGGCCAGTTTGTGGAGAGCCTCAAAAGCTAGACTGAGGAGTTTGGATAGATACTCTGGGGTAGTCAAGAAACCACTGAGGGTTTTTGAACAAGAGAATGACATAGGCAGGCCTGTGCCTGAGGAAAATGACTTTTGACAGCTGTGTGGGATGAAATGAAAGAAGGAAGAGTCTGGAAGCAGGGAGACCAATCAGGAGGCTTTTACAATGGGTCAAATGATAGGTGATAAGGGTCTGAATCAGAGTGGTAGAAGTGTGACTGGAGAGGAGGGGAAAGTTGCAAGACATGTGGTGATAGAATTGGTAAGATATGACAAATGATTGGATATAAGCAGTGGGAGACACATAGAAGTCAAAGATGATTCTAAAGTTATGAGCCTGGGTGACTTGGAGGATGGTGATACCCTCTACAGGAGAAAAGATAGGTTTAAAGACAAAATTTCAGTTCCATATTGAACAGAGAGTTTGAGGCATCCACAAATATTTGCATTGTTATGGGTTTTTCCTGTCCAATTAAAAATTGTAACCTACTCCATTAGTAAATGGTCTTTATGAGTTGCTTTGATTAAAAAAAATGATCATGATGTGGCCAAACTTCTGGCCATAATTCTCTCTGGACTTAGCTTGAGTGTCTTAGATGACATTTACACAGTCTATTATTGGAAAGGTCTTCAAAGCCTTTTCTGCTTAGAGGAACCTACCCAAGATTATGTTCCCCTGACATATATCCTTCAACAATCCAAGGTCCCCTCCAAACCCAGAAGAGACATCAGGGTTATCGGTGGAGGAAATGTGTATATAATATGCATGATAAAAGCTAAATATCACAGGGATCCTGATTATTTTTTAAATTAATTTATTTTTAGTTTTCAACATTCACTTCCATAAGCTTTTGAGTTTTAAATTTTCTCTTCCTCCCTCTCCAAGACAGTGTGCAATCTGATATAGGCTCTCTATATACAATCCTATTAAACATATTTTCACATTAGTCATGTTGTAAAGAAGAATTAGAACCAATAGGAGGAACCACAAGAAAGAAGAAACAAAACTAAACAGAAGAAATAAAAGGAGTGAAATGTATGCTTCAAACTGCATTCAGACTCCATGGTTCTTTCTCTTGATGTGGAAAGCATTTTCCATATGAGACTTTTGGAGATGTCTTAGATCCTCACATTGCTGAGAAGAGCTAAATCTATCAAAGTTGCTGAATTGCACAGTGTGGCTGTTACTGTGTACAACATTCTCCTGGTTCTGCTCACTTCACTCAGCATCAGTCCATACAAGTCTTTCCAGGTTTTTCTGAAGTCTGCTTGCTCATCATTTCTTTTTTTTCCTTTTTTTAATTTTTTTTTGGTTAGGCAAATGACTTGCCCAGGGTCACACAGATAGTGTCAAGTGTCTGAGGTCAGATTTGAACTCAGGTCCTCCTGACTCCACGGCCACTGCTCTATCCGCTGCATCACCTAGCTGCCCTTCGTCATTTCTTATGGCACAATAGTATTCGATTACATTCATATACCACAACTTGTTCAGCCATTCCCCAATTGATGAACATCCCCTCAATTTCCAATTCTTTGCCACCACAGAAAGAGCTGCTATAAATATTTTTTATATGTGGGTCATTTTCCCATTTTTATAATCTCTTTGGGATACAGCCTTAGAAGTGCTATTGCTGGGTAAAAGGGTATGCATATTTTTATAGCCCTTTGGGCATAGTTCTAAATTGCCCTCCAGAGTGGTTGGATCAGTTCACAACTCTACCAACAATGTATTAGTGTTCCAATTTTCCCACATCTTCTCCAACATTTATCATTTTCCTGTTTTGTCACGTTAGCCAATCTGATAGATATGATGTGGTACCTCAGAGTTGTTTTGATTTGCATTTCTCTAATCAATAGTGATTTCTAAATCATTTTTTTTTGTATGACTATAGATAGCTTTAATTTCTTCATCTGAAAACTGCCAGTTTATATCCTTTGACCATTTATCAATTGGGAATGACCTGTATTCTTATAAAGATCTTGATTATTTTTTAACAAAATATATTTTATAACAAAAATATAGCAGAGTAGATAGACTGGTAGACTTGGAGTCCAGAAAGACTGAGCTCAAATTCTGACATTGACTAGCTGTATGAGCATGGGCTACTTATTTAGGTTAACTTCTTAGAGTTTCATTTGATCTGTAAAATGGAAATGATAATATCTATAGTACCTTCCTCACAGTTTTAGTGTGAGGCTCAAAATAGATAACATATGCATAGAGCATTCTAGAACATAAAATTCTATAAATTTCTATAATTATTATAATTATTATCCTATAACAATAGTAGTATTTTGTAGTATAAATATAATTCAATAATTATTGTTGTTGTTACAATTTTCTAAAAGACAAAGGGGAGAAGGTGGTGAGTAAAGGAGAAGTAGACCTGGAAGGGACCTTAGAAAGGTAAAACACAGACTATTCAGAGTGAAAGGGACCTTAGATCATAGAATGTTAGACTTGAAAGGAGCTTTAGAACAGAGAATGTTGTAGCTAGAGAGGGAAGCCTGGTATAATGAAGAGAACATTGGATTTAGAATTGAAGGACCTGGATGCGAATCCTCACTCTGCTACTATTTGTTACCTGTATAAACATGGCCAAGTGACTTCACTACTCTTCATTAGAAAATTAAAGACTTTGAACACATTATCTCCCAATTTTAAATTGCTGATCTTATAACACGAAGTTAATATGTTAAAACTGGGATAAAGGAAACCGTATGTGAGAATTATTATGAGATGGTCTTGTTCAGCAGGGCATGAGGAGATGGCCTCAGAAAGGGGATTACAGTGAAAACTGTCCCAGTAGAAAGGTGACAGAGTCAAAAAAAAAAAGAAAAAAGAAAAAACTAATGTGATATTAGGCTGCACTAATGGTGAAAAGGAAAGGATGTCATCCAGGCATTGTATGGGAGGAAAAGAAGATGGGCTGGCCATGTGGCAAGAGCAAGCAGTGGCAGGTGGACATCCAGGGTGGTCACCTGGCATCCTTGTGTTGTCAGTAGAAAACAAAGAAGGCCCCCAGCGAGGTGGGTGGGTCCCGGTGAACTTGGGAAGAAGATAAATGAGAGTCATGCAAAAGGGCTTGGCATGGATAAGCTGGAATCTGCATCTTTGGAGGGAACTCCTGAACTGATGAGATCCCATATCCATGTGTATATTTGAATATGCTAGGTAGCATTCATAGATCCAGGAAAGTTATAGTCCTACTATTCTGTGCCCTGGTAAGACTACAAGCATTTATTAAGCATTTGCTAAATGGCAGAGACTGTGTTCAACCCTGGGAGCACAAATACAAACAAGTAAGATGTCTCTTCCCTCAAAGACCTTGCTTTCTAATGAGGAAAGGCAAAGACAGAACTGGAAAAGGGAGGGGAGAGGCATCAAGAAAATGCAAAAGCCAACCTGTCAGAGTCAGGCCCATTTTAGGAAAGAAA